GGGAGGGAGACCCTCACCCTCCACCTGCGGCTGACTAGGAGCAGGGTAAGAGAGTGAGCCATGAACCCAAGTGTGTGTGGGCCCCAAGCAGGCCTGGAGTGGGCCCTGAGGGGGCATGCCTGGGCGGCCTGTGTGCGCCCTCACCTTCAGACCTGCCACAAGACCAGAGCAAGGTAAAAGCACTAGGCCTTCCCACAACCAGGATATTTCAAACCTCTGGCCAGGGCAGTGTGATTGATGGCATTGGTTGACCCCATTGGCTGAGTTAGGCCCACCTGTGTGATGTACCTAAGGTGGGTGTGTCCAAGATAATTGTTTTTACCTAGGCCTGGAGGGCTTTGGTCTGTGCATGCTCAGTTTGGGGTCTTCATAGGTATTCAATGGTTGCCTGATTTCTTTCCAACTTTCTCTGTGGGGGCCGTTGCAGGCCTGGGAGGGACAGCACCCTGACCCTAAATCTAGCTACCTAACAGTAACATGTAAAATGTTTAGCATGGTGCTAGATTACCTGGCATCTAGTGAGTGCTCACAACTGCTGGTCTCTTGGGGCCTGGTGCACCCCTTCCTCACAGTTCTGTTTATCAGCTGTAGAGACCACCGTGGGAATCTACACACTGCTTGCCTCTTCCCTTCCCCAGGAAATCTGTGTGCTAACCCCCCACCTGCCCAAGCCAGTGCCCGCTGCACTTCTGAGCTCCGGAACCGTGCACGGGTTCCCAGGAGCGATGGTCCTTGGCAGGAGTGGCTGGCAGCATGCTCTACCCTGCACCCTGGGCTGAAAGAGTAGAGGGTATTGGTCTTCAGGGAGAGAGGAGGAAGGAAGCAGTTGTGCAGGGGCAGCTGGGGGCTTGTGAAGGGACTCAAAGTCTTTGGTTCCCTGGGTCCATAGACCTGGCTGCATGCCTGCCCTAAAAGACATCCCGGTGAACTCTAAATCAATGTGCGCACTCTTGTGGGATTTTTCCCCCTTAAACTCGATAAGGGAATGTTCCATACTCACCAAAAGGTTTATCAGTAAG